AAACAAAACTTACTTTAAGAGCTTTCTTTAAATTTTCAAAAAGATATTTGTGGGATAAAGTTCACATATTGGTGTCGGCAGCTCAGCGCTGGTTCTAGGGTATCTCCGACTAGATCACTTTTCACCAGTCATTTAGTCGAGTGGCAATCTAGCCAATTGCCGCACCCGCGCCGCAGGTGACATTCGTCCCCGTCCACACACCATGTCGAATGATAGCCAATTGGTTAGCTGATAAGCGGCACACGTTTTTTATCAATCAAATTCAATTAACACTATTTGCTGTTCTTCTTGTCATTAAAGTTGTTATTGTTTATTGCATTTCTGTTAGTCGTTGTTTTTATTTACCCTCTAGTTGCGTCACATCGTTTGGTTTTTGCTGCTGTGTACACTTTTTTTGTCGCTTATCTAGTGCGAAATTTTCAAATACATCAAAGTGTTTGCCATTAGGAAATACCTTGTAAAGGGCATGACAGCTTGAAGATGGTGTTTGCCACGGCTGTTGCAAATCGATCAACTCGATCGTTATGCAAACCTCGTTGAATTGGATTAAAGTGACAGCACACTGAATTTTTGACAACTAGGTGGCAACCCTGCAGTTTGAAAAGGATTCTGATTGGCAGACGATCGCTTAAATCTTACTACATCTATCTTTTTATAATAAAACCGGAAGCTTACTGAAATAAGTCAGCATCTTTAAGCTGTTCTTCGCATTAGAATTATTTGAACATTAGAAGCTGGCAATCATATTGTTTAACATTCATAATATTTTCTGTTTTGACAGTATTTCAGGAGAAAATCAAACAAAGTTATCAAATCGCTTGATTTGAAAGATTCTCTCTCTTATACTCTACTAGCGGGCAAAAGCCGGGCCTGCCCATGGTACGTAGAAAATAAATTCTCTCAAAGATCTTTGAAAATGAGTTTGAAACCGTTTGGACGGTAAGCCGTAATGTTGCCAAATTGATCTAGAGGCCAAACCATGAACAAAGAGCCAAGCCTTGTGAAAATCGGATGAGATTTGACTAAGTTATGGGAGTAGGAAATTTTGGCTTAAGTCTATATAGGTTATTGCGACCAATAATAATGTTGTGTGTGTGTGTGTGTGTGTGTGGGCGTGTGTGTGTTTGTGTATGCATGCATGTATGTATGCATTTATGTATATATGTATGCATGCATGGTTGTTTTCTAATTCCAAGCGCAGACCAAGCTAATTTGTCGCTGTGCTGCAAATTTAAATAAAACGAATTACAACCAAGTGCTCTACTCCTCGATTCTCAAGAATTCAAGTAGGCTCAGAAGTTTCTCATGCTTAGCTAGTAGTGTAGTGTTTTTTATACCCTTGCAGAGGGTATTATAATTTTGTCGTGAAATGTGTAACGCATAGAAGGAGACATCTCCGACCCCATAAAGTATATATATTCTTGATCAGTATCAACAGCCGAGTTGATATAGCCATGTCCGTCTGTCCGTCTGTCTGTTTCTATGCGAACTAGTCTCTCAGTTTTAAAGCTATCTTTATGAAACTTTGCAGAATTCCCTCTTTCTGTTGCACGCAGCTCATATGTCAAAACCAGCTGGATCGGACCACTATATCATATAGCTGCCATAGGAACGATCGGTCGAAAAGTAGGTTCTTGTATGAAAAACATTTTTGTTTATAAAGTTATCTTGACTAAACTTTGTATTTATTAGTTTTACTACGCTCCCCATATATATGCAAAATCCTATTAAGATCGGGCAACTATATCATATAGCTGCCATAGGAACGATCAGTCGAAAATTATGCTGTTGTATGGAATTTTTTTTGTTTTTCAAGATATCTTAACCATACTCGGCATTAACTATTTTCCCTGTGCTTCTTAGATACGGGCAAAGCACTATGAGCATTTTGAAAAGGTTGGGTCTGCAAGGGTATTAAATCTTCGGTGTGCCGAAGATAGCACTTCTTTCTCGTTTCTTGGTGTTTTTTGTATGCATGCATGTATGTATGTATGTATGTATGTATGTATGTATGTATGTATGTATGTATGTATGTATGTATGTATGTATGTATGTATGTATGTATGTATGTATGTATGTATGTATGTATGTATGTATGTATGTATGTATGTATGTATGTATGTATGTATGTATGTATGTATGTATGTATGTATGTATGTATGTATGTATGTATGTATGTATGTATGTATGTATGTGTGTATGTATGTATGCATGCATGCATGTATGTATGTATGTATGTATGTATGTATGTATGTATGTATGTATGTATGTATGCATATATGTATGTATGTATATATACATATATATATATCTATGTATGTATGTATGTATGTATGTATGTGTGTATGTATGTATATTTGTATGTATGTATGTATGTATGTCTTTGAAGCCGATCGGTTGGTAAATAAAAAAGTTTCATTCAAACGTTTTAGTCGATTTTTCCACACATGCGGGTGGAATTTCCCGAAACCCCGTCTAATGTGCACCTTCATCACATGAGGTAACTACAGTCAAAATTTAAGCTTCCTAGCTCGTTGTTTTACCTAACTATACTAAGTTAGTAATCCTTAGATTAAAATTCAAAATAAACTTACCTAACCTATTCAAAAGTATAAACTAAATATATGTTTGAAAAATAATTGATTTCAAAGACCCTCGTGTTCGCAACTTGAACGCCTTAAAAATTGTCAAAAAGGTGACAGCCCTATCTTACTATAGGGTTGCCGCCTTTTTAGGTGGCTTTAACAAATACAATATAGAGATAATATACAGCTCTAGATTACGAAGATCCAATCCAAACACAGTATTTGCTCAGCTTTCATTTCTGCGCTCATTTGTTAGGGTATTTACACTTCGTATTGGCTAGTCGCCAACCTGGCCTGATATGGCCACATGGCTGTCTGATGTCCGTGAAAGTAGCTCAAGTTTTCGATCTATTTAAGCGTTGCCTATTCCAGTACGGTCTGGTCTGATCTTATATAGTCAGTAGCCGACATAGCGACGCATCGTGAGCTATCTGTGAAGGCAGCTCGAATCCGTATTTTGTTCTGTCATGCAGCTCCGGCTGCGGCTCCAATGATGCAATCACTGAACGCTCTCCCTGTCATTATCAATCGCTCTCTCTCTCTCTGTCTCTCTCTCTCGCCTGCTCTCTCCTCAGCTTGCAGTTTTAGGGGACGTGCTGAGCCCGTGGCCGCAGCTACTTATTAATCTTATCAGAGATTGCGCTGATGCGCAGTTGCATTCGACTCGCAAGTGGGCCAAAGCTGACTCAGACCCACATCAACCGCATCAGCTGACTGCGTCGGCTCATTGGTGTCCGGTGGCTAATGCCAATTGCCAGTGGTTACCCCTAAATGCACTTCAAATGACATTATTCATCACCGATTCTGCTTCTTATTCTTATTAGTGAAGGTCTCTCAGTTGCGACTATGTGAAGTTGTGCTCCAAGCGAGTTATTGCTTGGACGTTTGGAAGTTCTTTTGTGCAACTGCTTCGAGGAAAGGAAGCCTTGGACATCAATTAGTGGTGCCAGCTAACAGAAACCGACAGCTTAGATCCATCTGAAAGGGAATGGAGAAATGCATCTGAATATAATGAAATCTTCCAAAGGTCCAGTTCAGGCTGTTCGCAGTCTGAAGTCTCGCATTTGTGCTGGCTTCGGCATTTCCAGGTCTTCCAAATCGGAATCCCAAGTCACTTGAGAAACATGTAACTTTTTGTTAACTAATTCCTACTCGAATTTATCTGATGATGGCGCTCCATTGATTCGATAATGCGAACCTTACACTGAGCAACTTCAAGGGCCTTACGTCACGCCACTTCATCGCAATAAATATTCCAATTGAACGCACTTGAATTGTCTTTTATTCATGACTGGCTTTGTTTATTATTATTGAGAGTTCGGCCCACAATAGCGGCCCGAATGTGGTGGACGCAACCCTTTCTAAAATTAGACCTCCATTTTGGGTAATCAGGCGTCCTTGTCCTTGAGTTGTTGTTGTTGTCGAATTGATGGCCTGCTAGGTCTTTTAATTATGTAGGCTATTGTCCTGGGACTCATTAATATTCGATTACTTATTTTGAACAAAGTCGTTTTCTTAGCTCTATATTTTATCCTGTAGCTATTAAGCCTTAGATTTATAAGAGCTTCAGTATATACACTTAGTCTTTAATATACAAAAATTTATACTTTTATAATTATTAAGTGCGCAGATAATCTACACTAATAATTATCTGTATCTATATACCTTTTATAGGATTTTACAATTATCCTGGGGATAGATTTCTTCCTGATCAGGATGACAGCTGAGTCGATCAAGTCACAAGAGCTAGTAATTTTATATTTATATAACCTCAGCAATATCGATATTTATCGATATTAGGAATGTGGGAGTAAATATCAACGTCAGGATAAAGATCGATTTTGCAGCCAGGTTTGTCAAGCATACACCGACGATTAAGAGAGCAAGATACGAGATATTTGGTATGTCAACTTCCACTAATTTATTTTTTGGATTACCTCCTGAATTTCCTTTATTTTTTGAAGGTAGGGCCTCTGGCATATACATACTATATGTCATATTTATGCCCTGCAAATTTCACAAAGATCGGACTATAAGCACCGAAGTTATTTGAGAATGCATTTAGCATATAAGTTGTGGGAGAAAGGGAAGAAGAAGCAGCGCTTTCATGTTTAGAAGAATGCTAGAATGTTTGTTAAGGTAGCTCTGGGTGCCATATACTCTTACGCCAGTCGGGCACTTGCGACTTCACATAGAAGTCGTGCGAATATCCTTGTGGAATACCCTGGAATCGCCACTATTTTGAATAGCTTTGCTTTTATTGGATCGGGACTCTCGAGTTACCCACTCAAGCGGACTTATCAGCTGCTATCTTGCAGCTGGCAGCCGGCAGATAAATAAATATACCATTTATTTTGAAGGCACTTTCCCAATCAATTTGAAGTTGGGATTTTGTAACAAGTACTTGCACACATATTTAGTTAGTTATAGTATATTTATTTATTTGTTAACTTGTTTTTGTTGTTGTTGTTTTGTTGTTTTGCTGTTGCCATAGAAAATGCCGCATTCCATTTGGCTAAGGCTAAGTACTTAACACATCACAGATTGCATTCGCACGCGTGGTTTCTCCCACACACACACACACACACACACGCACAAGCCGGGTTCACTTCTTCAGGAAGACCTCGTGCAGTTCGACATCCTTCAGATTGCTAACGGCCGCGGCGGAGGCGCGTTGCGCCCGCCTGCCACGGCGTCCCATGCGCCAGTGCTCCTCGATTTCGATGAGGGTGCGACCGCGTGTCTCCGGGACAAAGCTGAGGATGAAGAGGGCGGCCAGAAAGGAGACGCACGCATAGAAGGCAAACAGATTGGCGGTGCCCAGCCAGGCCTCCATATTCGGATAGATCTTCAGGCAGATGAAGGCCAATATCATGCCAAAGAATACAGAAACGCCGGAGGCGCTGCCACGCACACTCTGCGGAAAGACCTCCGATATCATGATGAACGGCAGCGTCAGCATGCCCATCGTGGAGAACACAATGTGGGCGACAATGCAGACGACCGGCAGCCAGGACCAGGTGCCCACCGTCTCGGGCAGCCAGCCGCCGGCGGCGAGCAGCAGCATACAGATGCCCATGCAGCTGGCGGAGAAGATGCCCGCCGGCCGTCTGCCCCACTTCTCGAAGATGCTGCTCATAAAGAAGGTGGTTATGATGCGTGCCACGCCCAGCATGACAGCGACCAGCACCGGATCGATGGTAACGCCCGCCGTTTGGGCTATCTGCACCGCATACACAATGATCACAACAACGCCGCAGGCCTGCTGGAAGCCAAAGAAGCCAATCATCATGAGCAGCGGCTTATAGACCTCCGGCCGGCGTATGGCCTGGCCGATGGACTCGCTGGCCGCCGTGTCGCGACTGTTGTCCGCCGTCATCTTCATTTGGGTGAGCTCCGCCTCGAACTCCGGCACGCAATCGTCATCTGGTTGGGATGAGGGATTAGCACAGGAATTCGATCTGAAGGATCAGGGCTTGGACTTACCCCTGCGCTGCAGTCCGCGAAAGTAGCGCAGCGAACGGCGCGCCAGCTCGATGCGTCCCTTTTGCAGCAACCAGCTGGGCGATTCCGGCATGGGCATCACCAGGAGCGTGGCGGCCAGCTGATAGGCGCAGCTGATGCTCGCAATAAGCACCACATTGTGCCGTATAAAATAGCCCAGCACGTACATCAGCAGGATGCCCGATGCCAGGCCGATCGAGGTGCCCAATATGAGTCGTCCCCGGATCCGGGGCAAGCTGATCTCCGCCGAGTAGACGCCCACCGGAGAGACAAACATGCCGATCATAATGCCACCAAAGGCACGGCCCACCAGCATCTGGGCGTATATGTAATCCCGATTCGTGTGCAGGAAACTTGTCGCGAGCAGCAGCCAGCCAATCAATCCAATCACATTCGTCAGCAGAATTGTGTACTTGCGTCCAATGCGATCCAGGAAGAAGCTGACCATCAGCCCGCCCAGCGGACAGGCCATATTGTTGATGGACGCTGTGCGGTAGAAGCAACCGAAGACACTTAATCAAAGGGGTATACCAAATGGGGAAAACTGCCTGAATAAGAAAGGGACTTAACCTCCTTAGCTAAACGTCCAGCTGGGCAACCTTTCCTTTCTGAATAGATCGACTGAAGGAATTATATATTATCCTGGCCGAAGATCATGCTAAAAAGATATCCCTCAAGCTCTACCCAACTCTGAAACCCTATGAGACAGAAGGAGCAGCACCCCATGGAAAGTTAGAATCTTTAGTAACCTCTTGTGAGAATTACTAGATCTTATTTGTGAACCCTTAGCCGTACCCAGCTCTGATACACCAGGAGTAAAGGAACAACATCCTTCTTCTTCACAGTGAAGCTCTTCAGCTGCAGCAGCTTTCATGGGTTTTTATTGGAGTAAAAAGAGGATGAAGATGATTTCTTTTCAGCCGAAAAAGCTCTCGATACGGGTAGAAATAGAAAATTCTATTTAGGTAGGATAGGAAGTACATAAAGTCGTAACCAGTTTAAAACAAGAATGGGATGAGTCTTTATCGGGCCTTCATAGCATGTCTCGGAATCATAACAGTAAATGGGTTAAGGTCAACAAGGTCAGATTATGGATTGAACAGATAATTAAATAATTGAAAAAGATAAGATAATGGAATATTGATAAGAAAAGATATATCAGCTGATGGGGGAAAAAATAGGTTAAGGTCAATTGGGGCATGGAATGTCAAAGGCAAAGAGAAGGATTAAATATGGGCTATCTTTTAAGAGAATTAATTGATGGAATATAATGAAAATTCGATGGGATCTCTTTATAGCTTTTCGCTTTTCTAACTTTTGTCACTTGCCCAGATTTGATTTAAAGACTAAACGGACCTAGTAATTCCCTTTTGAAAACCCCTAGATCCGAGGAACCTCAAGGATCTGCTTGATCTTCTTATTGCCTTGTAATCTTTCAATATTTTCCTGTTGAAATACTCACCAAACCAGCTGGCCTCATCCTTGTTCAGCCAGAAGGGTTGTGTTTCATCGCACAGCTGGTTGAGCGTTACGCTGGGCATGCTGACGACCATGCCGGAGCCCAAGACCCCACTGTTGCCCAGGAACACCATCAGCTCCTGGCGGAGCACGGCCAAATGTCGCTCGCCCAGCGGGAGGCTGCTCTCTTTGCGCTTATGCGATTTGCTCTGTTTGTTGTTGCTGTTGCTGTTGCTGTTGCTGCTGTGCTTGGCAATGTTGTTGCTGCTGCTGTTGCTGTTATGGTTCGTATTGGCTGCCGGCCTACCCTTGTCCAGATCCTTGCAGACGGTGGCCATGCCCGCCTCGTAGGGCGGCGGCATGAGCTCCTCCTCCTGCTCCAGAGTCATGTTGCTGGCGTGTGTTGCTGCTGTGTCCTTTATCAATTCTATTTATTAATTTCTTTGTGAATGCCCAACAACTAACAATATTGGCAACGTTAGCGCAACGTTGACTGTGGCCCGACTGTGGCTATGTTGCGTGCTGTCCGTTGGCTTTGTAGTGTTCCGCGTTGTTGTCGACGTTGTTGTTGCTATTGTTGCTGTTGTTGCTGCTGTTGCTGTTGGTTGTTGTTGCTCTTAACTTGGTTGTTGTACACTTGTCTAATTGGAAACGACAAGTGGAAACTTCCGCGCATTTCAATCATATGGCGACCAGCGACTCGGTATCAATTTCATAACTCGCTTCGCGCCTCTCCATGACGAAGACAAAAAAAAAACCAAAAAAAAAGAACACGAGCACAGCAAAAAAAATAAAAGTAAAGAAGAAACCTTTTTGAGAACCTTTTTGTTTTTGTTTTTGCAAACGTAACTGCCACTTGATGACGTTACGTCTGCGGGGTTCGGCGTTCTTGGACTCTACGCTCGGTTCTGTTTCTGTTGCGGTTCGGTTTCGGGTTTTTACCGTTATCAGTTACTGTCTTTTTGTAGAAATGGGCGCGTGACACGAACCCTCACAGCACGTGCGATATTTTTGTACACTTTGACTGCCATTAAAATAAAGAAAACGTTAATATATTCATCTTGTATTGAATGGAAATCACAAAATAAAAATCATTCACCACAGTTTAAACCGACTTGAAGAGAATTAACACTATATTTTACATGATTTAACGAGCCTGAGCACGAGCACCTGCGCTGATCACAACCTTTAACACGACTTTATTACAAACAATGAGATTAAATTCGACTTTAATACATGACTTCACATATTTAACAATATTTTACGTAACATTTAAAAAAAAGTTTACGAAACTCGACACGCTTTAACAGGACCAAGAATAACTATCACACACATTATACAAAAAAAAAATTTTATTAGTGTAAAAATATTTAAATGGTTATTAATATATGTAGATATTATATCGGCAGCATTTGATTAAATCTTTAGTCGTGCGTGTTCGTTCACGTTGGGCAGATAAGAACACGAATAAAGGGGACACGACTCAGCACAATGGCACAGAAAAAAACTCTTTGAATTCATAGCGTGAATTAAATTGCTAGAGGTATTTTAATTTCTGAATGCTCATCCAATTCCATATATACAAATTTTATATTCCATTTTTTCCATTAACTAATTTGATGGGACTTGAATTTATGTTATTTTAAAGTTTTTTAAAAAAAAAGCGGCATCAGAATAAATTAAATTATAATTTTCGAAAATAAAACATTGGCACTGAACAATATATATATATATATCAATATATATATATGTTATTAATAAAAACTACTAGTTTGTTCAATACTTTTAAAAACTTTTTTCGCTCTGTTTCCTTGATTTTAAAAGAACACTTATATAAAACATTTTGTAAAATAAGTATAAAAAAAATTTAAAAAAATACATTTTTTCAATGGAGCTCATTGATCGTGAAAAGCTTTCTTTTCGTGTCTTCGCATTGTAGGTCGTGCTGCATCGTATCGTATGTGCTGTATCGTGTCGTGCTTCAACTCCAACACGCGCCCAGCTCTAGCTTGTACATTTGTGCGGGGCGTGCTATTGATTCGGCTATCGATTTGATGAGCGTCCAATGACGAGCCTCTTCAAGCCACACACAGGCACACACACAGGCACATAGACAGACACACACACTAACACGCACACGCACACTGGAAAGGCACGCGATATTCGAGACTGGCTATTGGCAATTGAAGCAGCTGTTGTGCATCTGTTAATTACCGTTATTGCTTTTGCAATTATTTATTACTTTGCTTGAAGTTCTTTTGGTAGTCACCAGTCGGGGCCGAGTGACGCGTCCGTTAGCGGCAAAGTTTGCGCAGCAACTGAAACGGTTGTTGGCAAAAATGAAGCAGCAGCAGCAGACGCAGCAGCAGACGCAGCAGCAGACGCAGCAGCAGACGCAGCAGCAACAATCTGCTGCTCTTAGCTACAATGGCAACTGTTGCTGCTGTTGTTGCGGTTTTGTTGCCCTTTTAAACCCAGTAAGAATGGCGGCATAGGGTATATAAGCTTGTAATTACGAGTGAAACTCTAGGCAATTATTATCATTATCGTATCTATATCTATATCTATATCTATATCTATATCTATATCTATATCTATATCTATATCTATATCTATATCTATATCTATATCTATATCTATATCTATATCTATATCTATATCTATATCTATATCTATATCTATATCTATATCTATATCTATATCTATATCTATATCTATATCTATATCTATATCTATATCTATATCTATATCTATATCTATATCTATATCTATATCTATATCTATATCTATATCTATATCTATATCTATATCTATATCTATATCTATATCTATATCTATATCTATATCTATATCTATATCTATATCTATATCTATATCTATATCTATATCTATATCTATATCTATATCTATATCTATATCTATATCTATATCTATATCTATATCTATATCTATATCTATATCTATATCTATATCTATATCTATATCTATATCTATATCTATATCTATATCTATATCTATATCTATATCTATATCTATATCTATATCTATATCTATATATATAGATATAGATATAGATATAGATATAGATATAGATATAGATATAGATATAGATATAGATATAGATATAGATATAGATATAGATATAGATATAGATATAGATATAGATATAGATATAGATATAGATATAGATATAGATATAGATATAGATATAGATATAGATATAGATATAGATATAGATATAGATATAGATATAGATATAGATATAGATATAGATATAGATATAGATATAGATATAGATATAGATATAGATATAGATATAGATATAGATATAGATATAGATATAGATATAGATATAGATATAGATATAGATATAGATATAGATATAGATATAGATATAGATATAGATATAGATATAGATATAGATATAGATATAGATATAGATATAGATATAGATATAGATATAGATATAGATATAGATATAGATATAGATATAGATACGATAATGATAATAATTGCCTAGAGTTTCACTCGTAATTACAAGCTTATATACCCTATGCCGCCATTCTTACTGGGTTTAAAAGGGCAACAAAACCGCAACAACAGCAGCAACAGTTGCCATTGTAGCTAAGAGCAGCAGATTGTTGCTGCTGCGTCTGCTGCTGCGTCTGCTGCTGCGTCTGCTGCTGCGTCTGCTGCTGCTGCTTCATTTTTGCCAACAACCGTTTCAGTTGCTGCGCAAACTTTGCCGCTAACGGACGCGTCACTCGGCCCCGACTGGTGACTACCAAAAGAACTTCAAGCAAAGTAATAAATAATTGCAAAAGCAATAACGGTAATTAACAGATGCACAACAGCTGCTTCAATTGCCAATAGCCAGTCTCGAATATCGCGTGCCTTTCCAGTGTGCGTGTGCGTGTTAGTGTGTGTGTCTGTCTATGTGCCTGTGTGTGTGCCTGTGTGTGGCTTGAAGAGGCTCGTCATTGGACGCTCATCAAATCGATAGCCTGCAATCAATAGCACGCCCCGCACGAATGTACAAGCTAGAGCTGGGCGCGTGTTGGAGTTGAAGCACGACACGATACAGCACATACGATACGATGCAGCACGACCTACAATGCGAAGACACGAAAAGAAAGCTTTTCACGATCAATGAGCTCCATTGAAAAAATGTATTTTTTTAAATTTTTTTTATACTTATTTTACAAAATGTTTTATATAAGTGTTCTTTTAAAATCAAGGAAACAGAGCGAAAAAAGTTTTTAAAAGTATTTGAACAAACTAGTAGTTTTTATTAATAACATATATATATATTGATATATATATATATATTGTTCAGTGCCAATGTTTTATTTTCGAAAATTATAATTTAATTTATTCTGATGCCGCTTTTTTTTTAAAAAACTTTAAAATAACATAAATTCAAGTCCCATCAAATTAGTTAATGGAAAAAATGGAATATAAAATTTGTATATATGGAATTGGATGAGCATTCAGAAATTAAAATACCTCTAGCAATTTAATTCACGCTATGAATTCAAAGAGTTTTTTTCTGTGCCATTGTGCTGAGTCGTGTCCCCTTTATTCGTGTTCTTATCTGCCCAACGTGAACGAACACGCACGACTAAAGATTTAATCAAATGCTGCCGATATAATATCTACATATATTAATAACCATTTAAATATTTTTACACTAATAAAATTTTTTTTTTGTATAATGTGTGTGATAGTTATTCTTGGTCCTGTTAAAGCGTGTCGAGTTTCGTAAACTTTTTTTTAAATGTTACGTAAAATATTGTTAAATATGTGAAGTCATGTATTAAAGTCGAATTTAATCTCATTGTTTGTAATAAAGTCGTGTTAAAGGTTGTGATCAGCGCAGGTGCTCGTGCTCAGGCTCGTTAAATCATGTAAAATATAGTGTTAATTCTCTTCAAGTCGGTTTAAACTGTGGTGAATGATTTTTATTTTGTGATTTCCATTCAATACAAGATGAATATATTAACGTTTTCTTTATTTTAATGGCAGTCAAAGTGTACAAAAATATCGCACGTGCTGTGAGGGTTCGTGTCACGCGCCCATTTCTACAAAAAGACAGTAACTGATAACGGTAAAAACCCGAAACCGAACCGCAACAGAAACAGAACCGAGCGTAGAGTCCAAGAACGCCGAACCCCGCAGACGTAACGTCATCAAGTGGCAGTTACGTTTGCAAAAACAAAAACAAAAAGGTTCTCAAAAAGGTTTCTTCTTTACTTTTATTTTTTTTGCTGTGCTCGTGTTCTTTTTTTTTGGTTTTTTTTTTGTCTTCGTCATGGAGAGGCGCGAAGCGAGTTATGAAATTGATACCGAGTCGCTGGTCGCCATATGATTGAAATGCGCGGAAGTTTCCACTTGTCGTTTCCAATTAGACAAGTGTACAACAACCAAGTTAAGAGCAACAACAACCAACAGCAACAGCAGCAACAACAGCAACAATAGCAACAACAACGTCGACAACAACGCGGAACACTACAAAGCCAACGGACAGCACGCAACATAGCCACAGTCGGGCCACAGTCAACGTTGCGCTAACGTTGCCAATATTGTTAGTTGTTGGGCATTCACAAAGAAATTAATAAATAGAATTGATAAAGGACACAGCAGCAACACACGCCAGCAACATGACTCTGGAGCAGGAGGAGGAGCTCATGCCGCCGCCCTACGAGGCGGGCATGGCCACC